ACTTGGAACAGGTAACAAATTGGGGAATCTCATTTGGGGGGTTGAGTTGTAACAATATTGATCCTTCAATCTAAGATCCTCTCTGACAAATATACTGATCTTGTTCCTTATTTAGATTGCTACTCCATGTACTGTCGTTTCAATAATTCTTCCTAAATAATGAATACCTCTGAAGATTCGTTTACAATCATGGTTGCCCTGGAGCCATATGTCTGTAATGGAAATTAAATCATACTCATTTACTTCAATAAGTGCCTTTGACTCATCAACATTATTGGGAATGCTGCAAGCATTTAGATAGTGTCTTTAAAATTATTCTACATTCTGATCTTACTCGATGTTTATCTTTGCTTCACCTTCCCTCTAATTTAGCTTACTAATTTTCCACTTTCTGTTAATCAGTTTTGTTTGCCCCTAATCTGAGCTATCGTTCAGGTTTACATTCTCCTGCCAATCTCGTTCGAACCGTCCTCTGAAGCAGTGGTGAATTTCCGAGAGAGGACATTCGTCCTGGAATCACTAAGAAGGAGCCCAAAAATCTTGCATCGATCCAGCTTCCCCAGAACTGGTCCCAATGTCTCAGAAATCTGATCACCTCTCCCCTACACCAATTCTCCAGCTACCTGTTCAATTGCTCAATTTTCCTACTTCAGTGCTCCAAAAGCACAAGAAACTGGGAGTCATCCTGAGAATACTGCTTCAGAGCACCTGTTTTTTCTTTCATTTCCTTCCTAGCTCACCTCATCCCCTTCCTTGCTATTTCATTGGTATGATTGTGGACTACAATGTCTGGTTGTTCATCCTCCCCCTTGGAAGAAAGTTCTGCAGCTGTTCCATGACATTCTTGTTCTTGGCCCCAAGGAGGTAACACATCATCCTGGAGTCACATATGCAGCTACAAAAATGCATGTCTGTCCCCCTAACTTCTGCCTCCCCTCTTCTACAGCTGAGTCACCTGTGACACCATGAACTTAGAAGCAGTTCCCTCACCAGTATCCAAAATGGAAAACCAAATAGCAAGTGAGATCTGGCTAACTTAGACAGCTTGGCAGCTCTCTGCTCCTATGATGCTGCTTGGCCTGCTGTGTTCATCCAGCCCTGCACCTTGTTGTCTCACCATTCACTCTCTGTCTGCATGCCCCTATGCTGCAATATGAATATCTTCCCTAACTGTGATTCTCTGCCTTGTATACGCACCACAGGGACTACGGCTGTGTTTCAAATCCTGAAACTCAGCATTCAAGCTTCTGTATTTGGGGGTACATCCTGCAGATGTGTTTTTCCAGCGTACATGGTGCAGTTATGATTTCCTACATGCTACAGGTCGTGCATTCCATGCATCTAAATTAACCTTAACTTCAACTGGTGAAAAATATATTCTGGTTTCATTATATAAAGTACAACTGGAATGTGATTTGTTATCAGGAGAAGTAATTCGTGATAAAAACATTACCTATTGAGGGAGTTGACTTATTTATTGGTAATGGTTCAGCAGGACTAAAGGTAGTAACTTTACCCATAATTACAGAATGTTTAAAGGAGGTACAAGAAAACAGAACAGTTACACAAACAGGTTCCTAGTATCTTTCCTTTCGGTGTAGCAACGAGGGCAATGGCTAAAGAAATTTTATCAATAAGGGTTGAGATGTCACCATAAGCAAATGAAAGGACAGCCGAAACTTTCCTAAAGGGTGAAAAGTGTTTAGTATGACATCCCTAATTGCAACACAAAAAAGCAAGTCCTGATTTAAATAAATTAGCACAGTCAGCTCATACTAGGTTGGAGGCTAATGGAGTTCCAGAGTGCTATTTTCTTAAGAACAGAGTGCTGATGAGGAGGGGGAGATCCTTTCACAGACCCACAGATGAAGACTAATCAGTTGTAGATCGGAAAATTGTATTGCCCAGTTATCATAGGGAGAGTTGCTGAGTAGCATATGAAATTCTCAAAGCAAAACATATGGGGATCCAAAAAATCTCAGGCACCCATCAGCAGGTATGTTACTTGGCTAAAATTGCATAAAGATATGGTGCAGTTTTGTAAAACATGTCATTCTTGTCAAGTTGTAGGTAAACCTCAATAATGTGATTAAATCAACATCCCAATTCCTCAACTTGAGGAATGAATCAGTCATGTGCTCGTGGATTGTGTAGGTCCATTAACTAAATGAAAGTCAGAAATGAATATATCCTTACCACTATGGATGTGTTTACTTGATTTTCAGAAGGTGTTCGCTTAAGAACAATCAAAACTAAAATGGTCGTGGACACGTTCACACAGTTTCTCACTTGTACGGTTTATCAATGGAAGTATAGTTTGAACAAGTGTCAAATTTTATGTCAAAAACTTTTTCAAGATATCATCAGTATTTTGGCAGAGACACTAAATCAATATTAGTTATCACAGTGGAGAACACAAGTACCATCCCAATGGTAACAAGAAATGTAGAGAATAGAGAAAGGGAGGAACATTGACCAATCATCATCACAAAGGAAAAATTACTGAGCAACCTGTTGGATTGAAGGCAGACAGGTCCCCAGGGCCTGATGGCCTTTATCCTCGGGTATTACAGGTAGTGGCAGCAGAGATATGGATCTATTTATTATAGTACTCCAAAATTCCCTGGATTCAGGGAAGGTTTCAGTGGATTAAAAAAATGCTCATGGAGCACCCTCGTTCAAAAACGGAGAGGGACAGAACGCAGGAAATTATAGACCAGTTATTTTAACATACGTCATTGGGAAATTGTTAGAATTTATTACACAAACACCAGGAAGATACTATACGCCCCGACTCACTCATCATGCTACCTTACATCAGGAACACATCAGAACTAACCACAAGACTCCTACGACCACTGGGCATCAGAATAGCTCACAAACCCTCATCAACCCTACAACAACTGCTCACCCGAACCAAAGACCCACTAACACTACCCACTATGGACAGGACCAATGTCATATACAAGATTCCCTGCAGAGACTGTGACAAACAGTACATTGGACAAACAGGAAGGAAATTAACAACAAGGGTACACGAACATCAACTGGCTACAAAAAGACATGCGACCAATACTCACTCATCTCTATCCATTATAGATAAGGAGAACCACCAATTCGAGGGACAACACCAAGATCCTGGGTCAAGCAAAGCAGAGAAAAGCACAGGAATTCCTAGAAGCCTGGTACTCCACAAAGAAAGCCATCAACAAACACATAGAACTTGACACCATATACACTCCATTGCGAAGGAAAACTGGAAGTGAGGTAATCCAGCTCACGGACTCCAGAGTTTAAATACCAGGCAGGAAAACACAACGGCGCTTCATCGGAGGCTGCACTGATGCTGTTACCCAGCAGGGTAATGAAACGTCTGCGGAACAACAATGAACCAGCTCGGCGAGCCAACCAACCACCACATCCACAACCCGAGCTACAAATCTACTCTAAAACCCTAGAAATTGTTAGAATCCATTACTAAGGAAGTAAAAACAGGACATTTGTAAATGCAAATCCATCAGTCAGCATTGTTTTATGAGGAGTAAATCAGTTTTGACTAATTTGCTAGCGTCTTCGAAGATGTAACAAACAAAGTCAATAATGGAGATTTTGCAGTTGTCGAAGATTTGGACTTCCAGGAGGCATTTGATAAGATAACGCACACGAGGTTAAAACACAACCTATGATTACACGGGATTAGGAGTAATTTATTTGCTTGGATAGTGGATTGGCTGACCAACAGAAAGCAGAGAGGATAAATGAGTCCTTTTCTGGTTGAAAAGTTGTAACTAGTGAGGAGTCACAGAGTTTGGTCCTTGGGCAGCAACTATTTAAAATCCATACTAACATAGAAGGTGCTATAGCCAAATTTGCGGCTGACTTTAAAATAGATTGAAAATTAAATTGCCATAAAGAAATAAAAAAAATTACAAACTGATATGGATAGTTTAGGTGAATGGACAAAAATTTGGCAGGTGATGCTTAATATGGATAAGTGTGAGGTTATCCATTTTTGTTTGGAAGAATAGAAAAGCAACCTATTATCAGAATGGAGAGAAACTTCAAAGTGCTTCGGTGCAATGGGATGTAAGTGCCCATGTGCATCTATAGCAGAAAACTAATATGTAGGTACAGCAGGTAATAAGAAAGACAAATGGAATTTTGGCATTTACTGCTAAAGGAATAGAGTGTAAAAGTAGGGAAGTGTTGGTGCAACTTTATAAGGCATTTGTGAGACTGCACCTGCAGTATGGTGTATAGTTTTAGTTCCCTGAATTGCCTATCCCTGCTCCTAGTTCTTATGCTCTTAATGTATAAAGTCAAGAATCCAATGTGCCTTTAAACAGCCTTTTCAACTTATACTTTGCAAGCTTTCCAAGTGTCTTTGTTCCCGCAACCCATTTAAAACATATGTCTGCCCTCTATTACTTTGCTCCTGACTACTCAGTACATTTCTGGATTTCCCAAGTATCCAAGTGCAAGTCAATAATACAAATTAAAAAGAGCAGAGTTCCAACATTGACACTGGGAAGGCACGAGTACGCATTTCCTTCCAAAGTGAAAAGACACTGTCTGATTTTTAGTAAAATTAGGTGCCATAACAGAAAACTTGTCCAGGTTTCAATTTGCTCACATTCTATTTAGCTGTCTCTGTGCAATTAGCTTGAGGCAGAAATCAAGACATTGATTCATAAATTGTTGTTAATTAATAAACATATCTTGGATATTTAGATAATTATTCAAATTCCAAGATACTGATTAACCTTTTCAAGGATATGAGCCCAAAGGTTTTCAAAAGTCTGACCTGAAGACAAAAAGTCACCTGTTCAATGACAAGAACCAGATAACAACTCTTCAGAATTGGTCAGAATAGAAGTGAATTAGAAAATATAGTTCAGTTTAGAGTTTGCAGATCATTTATTTTGCATAATTTATAGTCAAACATTTAATGTAAATATATTAGAAATTTTTGGTTGCAGTTATTGAACAAAAGTTGGATCATTGTTTAAGCAGCTAGAAAGTGTTTTTTAAAATGATAAGTGATTAGTAGGTTTTTAGTACAATGAGTACAATTAGTAAGGTTTTTAGTACAATGAGACCAGATTTGGTTTGACCGTAAATATTTTTAAAGATGTAAGGACTGATACATTGTATTATAGCATAATAAAGGTAAAAGATACATCAATGAAAACCAAGTTACCAACCCTGCAAAACCATTTGTTGAATACACTTAAAAAAATCAAACTTGAGTATACACACAATATATTTTAGAATAGTTGATACAGTGCACGGGTATTATTCTATGATCACCAAAACCAGCACCAAAATTCAGGGCATCCACAAAAATAAAAGCACAAATATCCGATGCAGTGAAGTGTACTTCTATTGACGGCCTTGTTGAAGTTCAGTTGCAATCTCCTTTATGTTCTGCCAGGCATATTGGATGTGTTTACTTTCAGCTCTAGTTGCACATACAACAAAACGGAGGACAAACTTGTCTTGAAGTTGGCACGGTACAATGTGAATCTTTCTCATTTCATTTATTCTTTTAATGAGATTTTCATTAAGATCATTTGAGCCCTAAAAAAAATGAAATATATCAGAAAGGATCTCGTAAAAGGTTTTTACTTTGAAATTCATGGCAACTTTCCAAGCAGAATAAAAAAAGTAAGTGTTGAAGGAAGAGGCTATTTGCTTGCTCTTTCAAAAAACAGTTATATTTAGACCCACATTTCTGCATTTTTGTTCATCACCCTTGTAAGTTCTTCAACCTCAAGTACCTGGCTGTCTCCTTTTAAAATGAATTATGGAATCAACTTCCACAATTTCTTCAGGTCAAGTGTTCCAGATTCTGTCAATTGTAAGTGAAAATAATTCTCCTCATCACCTCTGTGAACACCTTGCCGATTTGTAAATTTATAACATTTAGTTACTGACCTCTCACCAGAGACAACAGCCTTTCTCTATCTACTCAATCAAAAACTATCAGCATCTTGGAAAGATCTCTGAAGTCATCTATTATTTTTCTGGGCTGCAAGGGAGAGAACCTTAACTTTCACTGCTCTCTGGTAACATATGGTCAACAGCCTCTGGTTCCTTTCTAAGATATTTTCATATTTCCTGATAATGTGGTGCCGAGGATAGTCCATAACGCAACAGTTGTGATAAACAGTGATGTATAAAGTTCCAATGATCTTTTATATTCTACTCCTTTGTAAACCTAAGTAAGCTGCAAACTTTTAAAGTACCTTATCATCTTGTCCTCCTACTTTTAAAGATTTGTTTTAGTGGAGACCATTGCCTGATCCAGCTTTTTCAATATTGTGCCATTTACGGTTTACCATCTTTCCTCGTTAGTCTTTCTGTCGCTTTATATTTCTTTGCATTGAACTCAATCTTTCCTCTACCTCCCATTTCATCATCCCCTCTCTGCAGTTCTAAGGCTTTTAATTATCCCATGACTTTCTACTACTTTATTAAGTTTCAGATAACTGTTGTATAAGGCAAATAAAAATCAAAATAAACAGCAGATGCTGTAAATCAGAAACAAACAGAAATTGCACAATTCTGAGAAAGAGTCACTGGACCTGAAACATTATCTCTGATTTCCCTTCACAGATGCTGCCAGACCTGCTGAGCTTTTCCAGCAATTTCTGTGTTTGTTTCTTTTTGTTGTATTAGGAAATTGGCCTGAACATTTTGACCTAAAAGCTTTGGAATTTCTCTGCGCCCAAAGATACAAATGACTGTCTCTGGGAGTAGCTGGTTTGTTCTAGTTCGTTGTTAGTCATTAGTTAATTCCACAGCCTACCACCATGTAATGTAGCAGTGACTCGTTACCATCTCATAGAAGAAAACAATGTGTCTTACCTAGTGTTACTGTAGCTAACAGTTTTAAGCTAATGTAATCTGTTATTACAATGTAATAAAATATTTCTTACTATTTAAGTATGTACATCTTCTGCTGAAGACTTATTATTGGCTAATTCTTCACCACTTAATACTGATAAGTCTGGTTAAAATAGTACTGCAAGAAGAGTTAGTGCCAACAAATCTACCCAAAGAAGTTTCAAGCAGAATAGGTGTTAGATGTGGGTATCTTTCATAACATAGCAGCAGGCTGTGTGAATTTTTTTGAGATTGGGGAACTCAAGGGCAGTACAAAAATCTACAGCATCTAAACAGAAAAGATGTGAGTGCCTCTTTAAGAATTCAGCAGCTTTTAAGAAGGGGGAAATCTAATCAGTGGCTGATGCAACAGCAGCAGAAAGTGGTAACAGCAACTCAGAGCTACAGAAGCTTTAGCAGCAGTATATCTATCTTTAAAAGCTTACATCAGCCAGAATTGGGAACAAAACTTAAGCTTGTGAGATTCAGAAAGAATATTACTGAAGCTCTTCAAGGATTAAAATCAGACAAACAATCCAGGAAAGTAAGTAACCATTATTGAGCTTCAGTTCAGTGCTTTTGAGGAAGGGTGAAAATATTTAAAATTATGGTAAAAGTCTGGGCTAGGAATTTGAAAGAAGGCTTAAATTGTTATCGTTATTTAACAACCAATTTTTTTGCTGTTACAAAATCATTGTTATAAGTATCAGAAAAATTCTTCTAAAACAAGGATATTCTTTAAAAAATTCTTTGAGTTGGCAGTATAATTAATCTTATTGGGATAAACAAGTCAAAGGTAAAAGAAAATGTTACTAAAAATAACAACTTCAAAATTGAAATGAATTTTTGTAATACAACTAAAAATATGTAAAGGCCTCAAATCACCCTGATGACATTTTGAGCAGTTAAAAATTTTCTAAATAAGTTGCAGAAGAACCGGAAATGGTGTCAATCCTTTATCTCAGTTCCATATAACAAAATTTTAAATTGCTGATAAAATGTCAATTTAAAGAGTTTTTTTATGGTCTTCAAATGATTGAAAATAACTTTCAAAGATTTAAAGCTTAATTATTTGGAATACAGAAAAAAAATGACCAAAAAGTTTTTGATGACAGAAATCTTTAATATATATTGAACTAATTTATTACAAGTTAAAGCTTTATCAGAGACCTTATCTTGCTTTATCAGTAATTAAATTTTAATTACCATTTTTTTAAAAGATACTGAAAATTTTGTAAAGCTTGACAGCAAGGAATTGAAAACACAATTCAACCTCAAAAAAAATGTCTGAACCTTGTGAAATATGCTGTACTTCAAGCAAACTACTTAGGTACAGAACTGCTGTCAGAATTTCAGATTCACCTCTTTTGGATCTTTTACAATTAAAGGAAGCTCTCACACTGGAAAAGGTAATCCAGACTGTAATGGAACCTAAGATTACAGAGAAATCACAGAAAAATCTGGAAAGGAAAATTTACTCCAGAAAAACCATCAGATCCTATCAACCTCCTAACGTACAAACACCCCAAACAATCACATGACAAAAGAAAACACAATGAGTTTTCAAAGCATTCAATGGTAGGAGTCACTATCCAAAATGTGGAGCAAAAAGAAGTACAAAAACAAATGCAATGTCCAACTGTATCACAAAAATGTTGCCTTGCAAGAAATGGGAAATTATTCAAAGAATGTGCAAAAACCAGAAACAATCCTTAAAAGACAGAAACAATGCTGGTTATATTCATAGAGAAGTCAATATTTTATATCAGACACCATTAGATAAAACAAATTCTGACTCCCAAGATATTAGAAAGTGTACTTTGGATGATTACATTCCTCCTTTAGAAGAAATACCACAGCCAATCCTCAAGGAAATAGGCAACCCATGTGAAACCAGTCAGTACAGAGCCCATATGATGTCAATAGATATCTAATTTAATTCAAGCTTGACACAGGAGCAACCATCACTGAATTATCTGAAAACACTTGTTCGTGTAAAAAAAGTCAAAACCTACTGATTTTATGTTAAATTGTACTGGAGTACTATGTGAGGTGTTGGGCCCTTAGCTTAGGAAGGATATTATTGCCAAAGAGGGATTTCCACAAAGGTTCACCAAGTTTGCTCCAGGGATGGCAGGACTGTTCTAGATAGATTAGAAACTGGGCCAATTTTGTCTAGAGTTTAGAAGGTGAGAGGTGATCTCACTGAAATTTACAGGCCGTAGGCAAAGTATTTTCCCTTTGGGGAAAGGCCAATTTCAATACCATTAGACAGGATCTGGCAGACACAGACTGGGAACAATTACTTGCAGGCAAGTCTGCACTTGGAAAGTGGGACTCTTTTAAACAAAGTATAGTGAGAATTTGGTGTCAGTATGTTCATCTAAGTGTGAAGGGCAAGGACAGCAGGTCCAGGGAACCCTGGATGTCAATGGAAATCAAGACTTTGATAAAGAGAAAGGATGAAATGTATACAGGGAATTAAAAACAGGGAGGCCCTTCAGCAGTGTACAGAGTGTAAATGGACGGTGGTGGGGGGGGTTTGCTAAAAAAGGAAATCGGGTGGGCAAAGAGGTTTCATGATATATTTTTGGGAGATTAAAGGTAAGAGTAAGTGTGGAGCTTATTAGAGACCAAAGGGGCAACCTGTGCATGGAACGAGAGAACATAGATGAGGCCTCAAATTAATGCTTCTAACTGTATTCACAGAGGGGACAGACATTGAAGTTAGAGATTTCAGTTGGGATGGTGAGGTTCTGGAACATATTAAGATTAATAAGGAGGAGGTATTAGATGTTTTAGCAGGCATAAAAGGTGTATAATTCCCCAGGGCCTGACGAGATGGTAATTTACCAAAATTTGCTGGACTCTGGGGAGGTTCTAGCAGATTGGAAAACAGCAAATGTGACACCGCTGTTTAAGAAAGGACGTAGACGAAAGGCGGGTAACTGTAGGCCCATTAGGTTAACTTCTGTAGTGGGGAAAATACTTGAATCCATGATCAAGGAAGAAATAGCGAGACATCTGGATAGAAACTGTACCATCGGGAAGACACAGCATGGGTTCGTGAAAGGCAGATCAAGTTTAACTAATTTACTGGAATTCTTTGAGGATGTTACGGACATGGTAGACAGTGGGGATCTGATGGATGTGGTGGATCTGGATTTCAAGAAGGCATTCAACAAGGTACCACTCAAAAGGCTGTTGCATAAGATAAAGGTGCACGGTGTTATGGGTAATGTATTAGAATGGATAGAGGATTGGTTAACTAACAGAAAGCAAAGAGTGGGGATAAATGGTTGGTGGTCAGTGGCTAGTAGTGTGCCTCGGGGATCAGTGTTGCTACCACAATTGTTTACAATTTACATAGATGATTTAGTGTTGGGGACCAAGTGTAGTGTGGCAAAGTTTGCAGGTGACACTAAGATGAGGGTAGAGCAAAGTGTGTAGAGGACACTGAAAGTCTGCAGAGGGATATGGATAGGTTAAGTGAGTGGGCAAGGGTCTGGAAGATGGAGTACAACGTTGGTAAATGTGAGGTCATCCATCTTTGTAGAAATAGCAGCAAAATGGAATATTATTTAAATGGTGAAAAATTGCAACATGCTGCCATGCAGAGGGACCTGGGTGTCCTCATGTATGAATCACAAAATGTTGGTTTGCAGGTGCAGCAGGTAATTAAGAAGGCAAATGGAATATTGTCCTTTATTGCTACAGGGATAGAGTTTAAAAACAGGGAACTGTATGAGATGCTGGTGAGGCCACACCTGGAGTCCTGTGTACAGTTTTTGTCTCCTTACTTGAGAAAAGATGTCCTGGCACTGGAGGAAGTGCAGAGGAGGTTCACTAGGTTGATTGTGGAGCTGAGAAGGTTGGCTTATGAGGAGAGATTGAGCAGACTAGGACTATATTCATTGGAATATAAAAGAATGAGGGGGGATCTTATAGAAAGATATAAAATTATAAAGGGAATAGATAAGAAAGAAGCAGGGAGGTTGTTTCCACTGGCTGTAGAAACTAGAACTAGAGGGCATAACCTTAAAATAAGGGGGAGCAGATTTAGGACTGAGTTAAGGAGGAACTTCTTCACCCAAAGCATTGTGAGCCTGTGGAATTCCTTGCCCAGCAAAGCAGTTGTGGCTAGCTTGTTGAATGTTTTTAAGGCAAAGATATATAGACTTTTTAACAGTAAAGGCATTTAGGGTTATGGTGAGTGGGCGGGCAAGCGGAGCTGAGTCCACAGAAAGATCAGCCATGATCTTACTGATTGGCTGAGCAGGCCTACTCCTGTTCCTGTTTATGTTCTTATGCACAATGCACTTTATCATATGCCAGTTTCTCTGAGGAAATGTAACGGTGTCATGAATTATTGTGTAAGGAGTAGCCTTTGTCTGTGAGTAACCAACTAGAACAGTGTTCTGTGCCAGCGAACAATCCTGAATATGAAAAGTATTAATGGTAGCCTCTCAGGTAACATGTTTTCACTTGTCTGATGATATGTTCAGCTTTGCATATAACCTGCTCATTCACTGGGTGTATTCTGATTCTGCAAAGAGATGATGACATAAACCTATCAATGGTCCTACAGAACTGGATAAATGTGGTGAACCTGTAAAAAAAAACTTTTCTTTCTCAAAGGCATTCAATATCTGTTGGAAATGTGGTTAATGTGACAACTCTCTGATCAGTCTAGCTATCATACTGGGGGAGCTCCAAATTTAACTTATGGAGCACATGTCTCCAATGTAGCTTAAAAATAACCTGCAGATAAGAAATCAAGTGCCACTGTCATTTTACCACCTTCAATAAGTGATAGAGACGATGGCTGTTAAGTAATTGACATTAGGGTTGTTGTTTCCTTCGTAAATCACAATCTCCTGATGCACTGATATCATGAGGAGATATGAATGCCTCAGTCTAAGATGTCTCTGCAATAGTCTTATAGAGAGTATCTGTGGTTTGACAATTTATGTCAAGGTTGCCTTCCCTCTCCACATTTCCTTACCATCCTCCTCTGCCAAACGAAGGTTTGTCTTGGGAAATAGTATCTTTACGGTGCCAGAATCAAGAAAGCAGAACTGGTAGACTTTATACCCTTTAAATCGGCAAAATTCAGGTTTAACAGTTCTTAACAAAAATCATTTCTATAACAAATGGAGAAAGTAGGTAAACCTGTAACAGACTGCAACAATATGCTCTGTTTCCATTTCTCCATATTACGTGGTGAAATTACCACAATGCTAGTTGATCACCCCTCATTTCCTGTCATAGGACGGCGTTTTTTTTGTATTTGGCAGATGACTTTAAGCTGGATGCTCATCCTGCTGCTAACCCTTCCCATTGTCTGGCATGAGGACCATACTGACTACATTCTGGCTTGCCTGCGCCAGTAGCTGAGCTTTTTCCTTGTCAACAAGTCCTTGAGTAGAACTCAAACCTAGAACATTGAGGCTAGCGTTCAAGTCACAAGGCCCTTAATTCAAACAACTGAGACAGCTACGTTACACACTGAATGCTTATTCCATGAGAATATTAAGAGTTCACCTAGGTTTTTGGTTGGCACTGTTGAGAGTAAGTTACCCAAGTAGTAAAACCCCTTTTGAATGGAAGAGTTTATAAACCAAGCTTTCCCATATATAGTGATAATACTACACCAAAGCAGAGCTCTAAACAGAGAAGTGTATATTGGAGAAACATCTAACTCCAAATCTCTCAAAGACCAAATTGTGATTTGCCACTATAGCACATTTCTATAAGTTAGCTCAGCATGCAACACATGTGAGGTAAGTAAAGTTAAATTTTCAGGTATTTTCTATGCATTTACATAATTTCCATTAATTAATGTTGATATTTCACCCTTTATAGCAGAGTACTTGAAATCTCACTAGAAGATTATACTCAGCACAAACTGGTTGAGATCATGCTAAATAAAGAACATCACTATCCCACTGTTTGGTTTGCATTTCAAATTGTTGCAAATGTGGAACCCAGAAGATAAAACAGAAATTTAGGCCTTGGTGCTGAAGAGGAAAATATAGTAGTGGATCTATGAAGAGTCTCTAATGCTAATATATTTACATACCTTCAATCTGAAGCACACCAGCCCTAATATGACATCATTCACAATCTCAAACTGTTCTTCTTGACGTACCAAGCTCTCAAACTCATGTGCCAGGCCCACTTGCTGAAGCAAAAACAGAAAAAAATGTTGCGATCTAAGTTTTTGATAAGCAAGGTTCTCAGGAAAAATAGATGGTATTTTGCAGAAAAGGTTTAAAATTAGATTAAAAAATGTCTAATTTTGTCATTGTCTATGCAAATTTAAATTAAACACGAGAACATTCATATATAAAAGCTAAGTATAGAAGAGGAAAAACCATCAAATCAACATAAATTTTTGTTTCAGTAAGTATTTTGTATTGATTTATTTTTTAAAAAGACAAGCATGAGAGAAATTCTATAGCATTATTGATTCAATTTCTTCTTGTCAATGCTCTGTATGCATTAATGTTTGGTACTGCACAATGAAGAAGAAGGGTTAGAGACCCACAAAACACAACATGTTAGCAGACTGTGGTAACAGTTTCCTTATGATAATCAAGTAACATGGACTGATGTAATAATGGTCCAGATTTTTCCACCATTCTTCTTTTATGAAGGGGGCAAGCTCCACATTTCTGATAGGAGATTCCTATCAGAGCTCCTTCATTAATGCGGAGCCATACTTCCATTTTGACAATTCTCTCATAGTGCAGAACTGTCAGGGGAAGGCAAACCACGCAATCTTTTCACAGCAGTCAGCTGCTGTATTCTAATCTTTAATGGTCTAGAATCACAGCTGCTATCAAAGTAGACATGGTAAGTGTGAGGTGGAGGAGTTGGGAGGAACCGAGGACCAGCTGGGTAGTGTGTCAACATGCAAAGTGGCAAAGGGACTTGGAAGTGGTGCAATATTAGTGTGGTTCAGGCCATGTGGCAGAAATTGGGTCAGGCCATGGAATAAGATTGGGGATCAGGCACTGGTCGAGGAGCAGTTGATCTCCAGGTTAGGGATGGAGCAGAGGAAGGAGATGTTTGGCCCCAGATTGGACAAAGGGGTCTGAGTCCAAAACAGGTGAATGGGACAGTCAGGATCAGAGTGGGTAAAGCGGGGAATTAAGCCTGGAGCAGGTAAAGGGGGTGTTGGGTCCAGAGCAGATGTGGGGGTGGGATGTCAGGTCTGGAATGGGAGATGGGAGTTGGGTCTCGAGCGGATGGGGAGGTGGTCAGGTTGAGAGTGGGCGGTGGGAGTCAGGTCCACAGCGAGAGTTGGGGGGGATTGGGTCCAGACCAGGGGAAGGGAATGTCAGGTCCAGAGTGGAACAGGAGTGTCGGGTCCTGGAGTTATGAAGTTAAGGTCTGCGGGTGGCGGGTGGTAGTGTAAATAGTTTGGGTGTGGGAGTCTAGTTTGGGTATGTGAATTTGGTATGGAGTCTGTTGAATAGATATTCAGGAGTTAGACTGGGTAATTATTTACTCAATTTCATTGAAATCTTCCAGATTCTCTGATTTAAATGGAGACTTTTGCAGGGTTCCAGGCGAAGAGGAATTGCTCAGTGTAATCTTCAATTTCCTGGGTATTCCTTCAGAGCAGAACAGGGACTGTGATGGTCATTGGCAATCACTTGCTAATGAGCATGATTGTTTATGTAGGAAATTCTATATCACTGGTCATGGGTTCTGGTGGGTCCTTGCATGACTGATGAGCTCAACATCTCTGACCACACATTTGGCAGGTGTTTCAGGGAGGTTGAATTGGTCCTTGGCCTTGAGATCATTGGCATTCTTTCTCCAATTTCTTTTCCATACTACCTCTTGCCATCAAGTGTTCTCAAAGAACTGCATCCCTTCACAGGAGTTTCCTCCAAGTTGGCTCTTCTGAAGGAGGAACTCCCATGCATTGACATTGACATCCATGTTGCATTTCTTGAGGGAAGCCTTCCTTAAGCTGGGTAAAGATTTACCTTTGTAGTCAGAATTCAGGCATTCTAAGGACATGTCCAACACAGTTGGTTTTGGATGACCCTGGCCTTGATGCTGGTGCCTGATCTCTGAGCTAATGTACAGAATCCATCTCAAACAGCACTGATTGCACTTCTCAAGAGAATTGAGGTGGTGTCTATATGTGACCCAAGTTTCGAAGCCATATAAAAGAGTCAGAAAATGATTGCCTTATACACAAGGATCTTGGTATTAGCACAGATGTCACGGTGATCAAAGCCTCTGATCAAAGCCAAAAAATGACAGTGTCGAACCAGTTAGAGACTAGAAATGGGTCACAGTGCTGTAAGGAGAAGCTGCAAGAAAGGAATAAAAGCACAATAGCAGGAAATATTTTTTAAAAACTTAAATCATACCATATAAAATCTGATGGTTTTAGGATGAACAAAGTAATGCAAGTCTGCTAATTATTATCTACAAAACCTTCCAACTTATGAATGAACGCTCCCCCAGTTCAAACTCCACTTGGAAGAAGCACTGAAGACTAAGAAAAGGCATAGAATCTGGGAGCAAACTAACAGAGTCCCAAATGAACTAACTGTCAATGCTGATCTGAAGAAATAAACTTGAAGGAATAATCTATTTGACTGCACCCTCAAAAACACATCTATCATTGATACATCTATCCACAATTGCTTTGGTAAGCAAGAACGTTGTGCCGTCTTTGTGAACTCATGAAAAGTAAGAAGATAACTCAGGAAAGTGTGGAGATGATTAAAGACCAAAAAGGTAACTTTACATGAAGGTGGTAGATGCATGTAAATTTCTTAATGAATGCTTTGTGTCTGTAAAGAGGGAAATGAGGCAGACTTATATTTAAGGAGTAAGGTGAAATATTAGATAGGATAAATATTCATAAGGAAGAAATATAAAGTTGTTTATCATCCTTGAAAGTTGCAAGTCTCCATGCTTGATCAAATATATCCCTATTAAGGCTATTAGAAGATGTAAGGGAAGATGATCATTTTCCACTCCTCTCTTGCTGTGGGCACAGTATCAGAGAACAGGAAGACTGCAAATGATGTACCATTATTTAGGAATAGTCAGAGCAGCACAGGCCAATTGATCTAACTTTGGTGGTGGCCGTATTACTGGAACCATTTCTGTAGTTGGTATAAAACATTTTAGACAGGGTCTGATTAATCAAAGCAAATTATCATGGATTTGTTAAAGGACCTTGTTTAAAATTTTGAGAAGGCAGCAAGGAGGATGATGAAGGTAGTGCATTTGATGTCATCCACGTAGATGACAGACAAATCAGAAAATTTAAAGAGAAAGTTGATCCAAAATTTCCTAAATGTTAGAAACCAACAAGTGTCCCAGGTTCTTGTTACTGGAAATCTGTTTCTGACGGGATTCTGCATGACTTAGTACCTTTCTCTTCATGGTAAAAAGAAGAACTTGCATTTATATAGCATCCTTCTGAACCACTGGATATGACAGCCAATGAAACACTTTTGAAGTGTAGTCACTGTTACAAAGTAGTAAATCAGGCAGCCAACTTGCACTGAGCAAGTTCTCACAAAGCAAGTTGATTAAGAGCAGATAATCTGTTTATTTGTGATACTGACTGAAGGATAAGTATTGGTCAGGACACTGGGAATAACTCCCCTGCTCTACACAAATATAACATAATTGAATCTTGTACATCCGTTTAAGAGAATAGATGGTTTAATGTCCATCCAAAAGACAGCAGCCCCAACCAGACATTTTTGGGTAAGGCTACAGTTTTATACTAAAGTCCTGCAATGACACTTGCACGCACAGTTTCTGACTTAGAGAAGAGGGTGTTATCACCTGAACCACACTAACACCGAGCATAAAACAATGGTGGCAAGTTACTGAAACAGAGAAGTTTGGTTGAAGGTGATTAACAAAGAACTAATGGCAACGCTATGTCTGACAGCGTGGTGAAGGTAGATTCAATCAGGCACTTCAGAGAATTAGGTAATTATTTGGAGAAAATAATTGCAAGGATTGCAGTATGAAGGGGGCTAGTTAATTCAGTTGGCTGGATGGCTAGCACGTGATTCAGAATTACACCACAGTACATGTCTATTTCCTGTTCTGGCTGAGTTTGACTTGGAACCTGCCTCATCACGCTGCCCCATAAGTGGAAGGCAATGGCAAACTATTAAACGAAAGCTCTCAAGAAAATAGCACAGGATGAAGGATCAGCAGACAATGACCAAAGGTCTTGTCTTTAGACAAAACAGGAATGAATAGGAAAAAACAGGAGTGTGGGACTAACTGAGTTTCTGTTGCAGAGAGCTGGCATGGAGTGAACAGCCTCTTTTTGTGCTGTCACCATTCTATCTTTCTAGGCTAAGAGATTTTCACAGCAACAGTATCTATCCTTGAATATATGCTGTCTCATTGATGTGGCACCAAGTCAGATAATGTGAAGCCAAATCTCGCAGGCTGCAACTGGTCATCTATGAGGTGTTTTGGGCAGCAGCAGCACAGATCTCTGTAATTGTATAGCCTAGCACATCTCTCATTTCTCCACCAGTATTAAGGCAGAACGTTCAATTTGGAAAGGTACAGCTAAAGCAGCACCAGTTGCAACTCAGAATGAAGTAACAAGTTAGTGAATATACAATATGTGACCACCTGCATGTAAACAACAAAAACAGCAGGTTATAGACAGAGCTAAGCAGCTCCACAGGCAACTGATGATCGTAAAGCTCTAGGACTCCACCATATCAAGTGAAGTGCAGTGATAGATATCATGTTCCATGCCCATCTTCAATAATGGCAAAATCTAACATGTGAGTGAAAAAGAGAACATTGTAGTGTTTGTAAATGGCTTCATCCAAAAGTGGCCAGTAGATAATTTTAATTCGTCTCTTCTCCAGGTCCACCAAATCATGGATGTTATTTTCCAGCCAACATGGTCCATTCCCCATAACATTAAGAAGCAGCTAATTGATCTGGACAGAGTAAGGGTCACATTCTCAAACAACACCCTGGCTGAAGTGCAGGAGATCCATATTTCACTCCTTCCTTCTTGCCCAGCTGTGAAATTTCAGTGCAGCTACAGTCAGTGAGTAGAACATGCTAAGATGGACACATAGTAAACAACAAACATACCCGACCAGTTAAAGTCACTGCATCCTTCTATTCGATTTTCACAAAATGATAGATGGAAGGAATCATTAATATTACCATAAACAGCACTTTACATAGCAAAGGTACAACTCTATAACTTTACCTGCAACATTAGGTTTGACAGACGCTCCTAGGAGGCTGTGGTATCTATGCTATGATGAAATCTACATTCTTGGAAATTAACAGCAACAGGCTTTGCTTAACTATTTAAAGTGTATAGTGACAAGAACAAAGAACAACAACAAGGAAAATTACAGCACAGGAACAGGCCCTTCGGCCCTCCAAGCCTGTGCCGATCCAGATCCTCTATCTAAACCTGTCACCTATTTTCCAAGGATCTGTATCCCTCTGCTCCCTGCCCATTCATGTATCTGTCTAGATACATCTTAAATGACGCTATCGTGCCCGCCTCTACCACCTCCGCTGGCAATACGTTCCAGGCACCCACCACCCTCTGCATAAAGAACTTTCCACACATATCTCCCTTAAACTTTTTCCCCTCTCAACTTGAAATCGTGACCCCTAATAATTGAAGGTCATGTTGTCTGGAGCCCTGCAGACCCAGGGTCCAGCTTCCAATGACGTAACATCATTATGATAAAGCTTCATTTCTACATGTGCAGTAGCTATACTTATAGTAAATGCTTAATTCATTTTACTCTATGGTGCTCTTTAAGCCTTTCTGAAAATTTGTACAGTTTTTCCAGTTTGTACTTAGAAAAAGAAAACCTGGAGATTTCTCCCACTGATTACTAAGAATTGCAACTACATTTTTTAAGTGCACTCCACTGGATGTTAGGCATCTATTATTTTTAGTTAACACACAATTAATTTGTGGCAATGTGAGACGGGAAGAAAAGGATAACTGTAGCTTTGATCAAATATTACAGATATTATGCAGTCCAGATTTACAGCATATTTTGCCAAAATATTTTACAATATATCTACATGAGTTATTTTTGGATGCCTACCTTACGAATATGTTCTTGAAGTCCTTTTACTCCATATAATCTGAACACAAACCACATTTTCAAAGAACGGAATCTACGTCCAAGAGGAATCTGCCAATGCTACATAAAACAGCATTAGTTAAAATATTATTTACTAACTGAGGCCATTATGGTTTCTGCCTCATAGCCTGAATTAAATTGAATAAGTCTGTAGTACAAATACCTATTTTCAATTAGTCTGTAATGTTGGAATAAACTCTTGGAGCTAAAACTCGATGTGAAGGCTATTTGAATGGAGAGAATTAATTCATACTCATGAAAGTCCACATATCATCCCAAATGTCTTGATCCATTAGATAGCTGTTGGATTGGATTGTGTTGTCCATCAGCAGTTAATTTTTTTGGCAATTAATTTTAATGTGAAATGGTTTAGGTTATGATGTAATTGTATTTTGAATTGCAGTGAGCAGCCCGGGCCCCAGAATATTGCAATGCAAAAGGGATGCAACTTCCGCAAAAAATTCCTTTAGGCACTAGAGGGCAGCATTGGAGCATTGATTTCTTTGACTTTTGCATTTTCTCCACTGGGTAATCTTCCACCCTCATCAGATGTGATCCTTGCCAAAGCCATCGGCAGTTACAGGACACAGTATCGCTGAGGCACCATATCGCAGCATTTATAGTCATAGAGTCATAGAGACATACAGCACGGAAACTTTGGTCCAACTCATCCATGCTGACCAGATATCCTAGATAAATCTAATCCCATTTGCCAGCATTTGGCCTATATCCCTCTAAACCCTTCCTATATATGTATCCATCCAGATTCCTTTTAAATGTTGTAATTGTACCAGCCTCCACTACTTCTTCTGGCAGTTCATTTCCTACACACACTAGCCTCTGTGTGAAAAAGTTGCCCCTTTAAAATCTTTCGTCTCTCACCTTAAACCTATGCCCTCTAGTTTTTGACTCCCCCCACCCCAGAGAAAAGAGCTTGTATATTTACCCTATCCATATCTCTCATGATTTATAAATCTCTATAATGTCAACCCCCAGCCTTCGATGCTCCAGGGAAAAATAGCCCCAGCCTATTCAGGCTCTTCATAGCTTAACCCTCCAATCTTGGCAACATCCTTGTAAATCTTTTCTGAACCCTTTCAAGTTTCACAACATCATTCCTATTGCAAGGTGACCAGACTTGCACGCAGTATTCCGAAAGTGGCCTAACCAATGTCCTGTACAGCCACATCATGACCTCCCAACCCCTAAAATCAATGCACTGACCAATAAAAGCAAGCATACAAAATGCCTTCTTCACTATTCTATCCACCTGCAACTCCACCTTCAAGGAACTATGAACCTGCACTCCAAGGTCTCTTTGTTCAGCAACACTCCCCTGCACCTTACCATTAAGTGTGTAAGTCCTGCCCTGATTTGCCTTTTCAAAAGGCAGCACTTCACATTTATCTAAATTAAACAAAAAGGGTTTGAATTTTAGGTAGATCTGCAAATCTCTTAGTTAGATGGAACACTGACTCCTGGTAATAATGCACTGATACAAAGTAGCATCTTTAATTGATGTAGTAACAAAGTCTTGATGCAGTACCAAAAATCTGCAAGCAGACTTTGAGGATTTTCAAAGCTTATGAACTTCTAATTTCACCATGAATCAGCGAGTTGAAAAGCATATTGCGGATGAAATTTAGTGCAGTGAAGTGTGCACTCATACATTTTCATCAAATCAAGTGAAGACATACAAAGATGACCAAAAGTAATTAAGGGGGTGGGATAGTACCGGAGACCCGGTAGGTGGGGAATGATGTGGAGATCAGTGTCTTGAATGATTATGATGTTTTGTATAGATCGAACTTCCCAGACAGCAGTTGTGTGGCTAAGCAGATAATGAGCATTGCTTTGCAAATGACCCCACTGTGGTAAGAATGGGTGAATTGACATTTTAGTTCACAAGGTTAGTTTCTGACCTCATATAGATGTCATCCCTAAGAGTGCCTTTCTCCACCTCTGCAACATCTCTTCACTTTGGTCTGTCACAGTTCATAACCTGCTGAAATCCCCATCCACGCCTGAGTTAACTCTTCACTTGATTATTCCTGCACTCCTGGCGAGTGTCCCACCTTTTACTCAAAATAAACATGAAGTTATCCAATGCTCTGCTACCCATGTCTTAATGTGCTGAAAGTCCTGTTGCCCTACAATCCCCGTGCTTGATGGCCCCCATTGGCTCTGAGTAAATAAAGGTTTTGATTTTAATATTCTAATTCTTGCCTTCAAATTTCTCCATGCCCTTGTTGCTCCCTATCTCTGTAATCTTCTCCAGCCCTACCACCTTATACAATCTTTAGTTGCTAATTCTGGCATTTGCAAATTCCCAAGCAAAGTTGCTCCATCATTGGTGGCTACACCTTTAGTTGCCTAGACATAAACTAGACATTTTTCTCCCCCTTCCAAATGCATGCCTCCTTTAAGACACTTCTTAAAGCCCTTTGTTTATGGTCAAGCTTTAGGTTCCTTGACCTACTATTTCTTTGTTTAGTTCAGCGTCAATCTTAATTTTTTAGTACTTTCAGAAGCACATCAGGACATATCATTCCATTCAATGTGCTATATTTAGATGTAAGTTGTGGTTGTTGAGGAAGCTTATTCTCTCGTTACAGACGTTTCAGGTCTGTTGCCTCCTTCAGGCTGGAACCCTTGTCCCGGTTTCAGTCCTGTGGAATGGTGTGTAGCTGAGAATGTGGCTGCTCCAGTTGTTGTTGCTGCTACTGCGGCTGACGTTGATGCTGCTCCTCAGAGGGCCATGCTTCTGCTGCATAAGTAACTCCAGATGCAGTGAACGTTTGACGGGAAGCAGTGTGAAGCGCAGATGAACACTCACCAAGGCACTTGAAAGTAAATCCAAAACGTTGCAATGGAGAATCAAAGCAGTATATTCAGGCAGACAAAAGTAATCTTGCAAGCTTATGCCTTTCGTTGGAGCCCTATAGATCTACTCTTGACCATCAACCTTTTATTGAAATTAACAAACAAGGAGAAAGATGTGGAAAACTCACAAAACTCACAGTCCAAAAGGAAAGCAGGAGTTACAGAACAATGTGTATGCTTGAACTCTGACCTCTGCTCCCTTCAGTGTAAGCTACATGTTGAAAAATGATGATTGGTTAACTTACCTTATGGCTTCAAAGTTTTGTATAAAGTTATGCATTAAAAATCCAATCATTTCAATGGAAGTAATTTCTTAAATGACATTATTAAATTTAACAATAAAATGAAACAAAAGACATTCAATATCAACAGTTAATGTTGGGCTGAGCAACCTGTGGTACTGACTATTGATTCAAAATGGTTTCCGATTTGTACAAACTTTCATTTTAACTGGGGACAATTTGCAAGTAGTAAGTGTATAATTTCAATCAGCTCCCCAATGGCTCATGCAAAAAAAATGGCTCCATCAGACTAGCCATAAAGATTTCTCCTTTTTATCTCCCTTGTTTCTTTTTTTCCATGTTGTTTTCACTTACTTCTGCCAGATGGCAGTACAGGAGCTACAACTGACTTCAACAACTCTTGGTTTAGGAAGAGAACAAGCCATACATTTTGACTCTGAGGAGCAAGGCATTAATGCTAACATTAAAAGACCAGTAATCCTTGAGGTATGTGTTTGTGGACACTGGGGAGATTGGATTTGACAGTAAAGATCCTAGATATTGAACACACTGATAAAACTCACTGTTTTGGTTCCCAGAAGGAAAGAATAGTACAGTGAGGAGCCAGAGGATAATGATTCTGACAGAAGTCAACACAGTTAGGAAAGGAATAAATCTGCAAAAAAACCAAAATTTAGTTCAATAAATCTTAATTTAGACTAAAGTCAAAGCTGGAGGCGTTGAAAAATAATAACTTACGCATTTAGTTGAATGTTGAACCTGACTAGAACTGAAAATTATACACACAGTTATGAGGCTATTTCACATTACTATGTTTTAGAAATGCTTTAATGATACTCACCCTATAATCAGTGATGAGTCCTGGAAGTACAGAACAAAAAGAGAATGGTTACAGTAAAATGTGACTCATTTGCCGTATACTGCAATGCAACTTCAAATGATTAGACGAATGAAATGCTAGATTGTATCAAGGTTCAAATCAAGTCTATGAAGTAATATACACAATAACATGTGACAGCTTTTGACCTGGAAACAGTACCAGTAAATAAAAGGTGGAACTACTTTAAAATGTATTGGGAACCTGTGATTATTACTTAGAACTTTTAAGCATTGTATCAATTGTAAGGGATCAATTATAATTTTCAGGTATTAAGAATATTGGCCTGGTGACATTGGCTTGGAAACAGTACCAACCAAAAGTTAAAGTATGGAGACCAAGTTGCAGACTGTAAGGGGAAAGGCAAAGGAAGTTCTCGTATATGAAACCAATGAAACCCAGAAGTTAAGACAGTTCCAGAAGGAAGCATGCTACTGTGTGGAGGATTGTACGGGCAGAACTCTCTTTACTTGGAAAGTGTTGCCTGAGAGAAATGGATAAATGTTTGAAGGAAAGAAATTGAACTTCTGCCCAATGAAGAATAATGGACAGGCCAGAAGATTTATAAAATTTATCTTTGTTAGGTATTATCCCAGGTATAACCCATTGTTTGAAATGATCTCAGTTGCCTGTTAATTTATATTCAAGTTATGTTGATTTTGATACATGCTAAAATAAAAGTCACAATAAGTATTCTTCTTTTGTATTTATAAATCCCACAGGGATCATAAAAGTGATATATTAGGTATTAAACTGAATTTGGAAACATTGTTTACATAATGCTGTTTTACAATGGGTGAGGGAAATATATTGAATTCTTTTATTTTTCTCTTCTTATTGCTGGAAGCACAGATGTTTTATGATTTTTCTTATTTCTTTCCCCTTTTGAAATTAGGTGTGGCATGTTACCCCTAAACCATCTATCCATCTATTTGTGAAAGCAGTATTTTGTGGCAGAATTCATCTTTTGATACTGGGTGAAGGTCTACCAAGATGAGGTTGGTAGACTTTTCAGGTGATATACTGAAAATCAGATTTCAAAGAAGTTGAGATTTGAGGGAGGCTTAGATCAACCTGGAGTCTAGCTGTAACATTAGCAGACCTGAGATTATTAGCTGCCTGATGTTAATAGTAACTGCTGATTCACCTGGTCAAGTGACAAGGTTTTTAGATGAATCGGTTTCTACTTAACAAGAGAGTTTTATAGTTTTGACAAGGGACCCTGTCTATGTATGCGATAAATTTTGGGGCATTAGCACCTCTTCAGGCATAGTATATTGATTGCACTCCCTACATTGTAAGACACTGCTGGGGAGATATCTTGTCTGCCAGTCCTTGTGTTTGTGAACTGCAAAATCCACACAATGCAAGGGTGTCACATTTCAGGACGATGATGGTTTTCGCTGTGTCCCTTTGTAAATCACTGCAGCTTTCCAGAAAATGCTGTCAACTGTTGTCATGAAATTGATAGCAGCTACCTTTTTGACTAGCAAATTCCATTTTAAAATTGAACAACAAAATATTGCTTTTAAAACAATTTATGATGTCTTTCAGGTTTAGGGGAACCTGACAATTCTTTAAAGATTGTTGGTATCCCAAATGTTTTAATTCCTAGTTACATGTGTACTTGTTTAATATACTCAAATCACTACAGTTATCATTATAGTATTATCAGTGTTAGTTATATTGGTTATTAAAATTAATATAATCAGTTTCTATAATATAATACAGTACTCTCATCGTTAATATATTATCGTAGTAATTCCCATTCCATTTCCTGCCTTCCCACCCATTTCCCTTCTCCCATTCCCTCTGGCCTTCTCCTCTACCACTCTTCAGCCTAGCCCACTCCACCGTTTGAGACCACACCTAGAATACTGTGTGCAGTTTTGGTCTCCCTTTCTGAGGAAGAATGCTCTTGCTCTCGAAAGAGTGCGGCAAAGGTTTACCAGGCTGATTCCGGGGATGGCAGGACTAACGTATGAAGAGAGATTAACTACGTTAGGAAAGTTTTCACTGGAGTTCAGGCGAATGAGGTGGGGGGGATCTCATATAAAATCTCATATAAAATAGACATATAAAATTCTAACAGGTCTAGACAGGGTAGACGCAGGGAGGATGTTAAGACCATAACAGCAGAAATTGGGCCATTCAGCCCATCGAGTCTGCTCCACCATTGGATCATGGCTGATAAGTTCCTTAACTCCATTCTCCTGCTTTCTTCCCGTAACCCTTGATCTCCTTGACAATCAAGAACTTATCTATCTCTGTCTTAAATACACTCAATTCCATGGCAGTGAATTCCATAGATTCACAACTTTCTGGCTGAAGAAGTTTCTCCTTATCTCCGTTCTAAAAGGTCTTCCCTTTACTCTAAGGCTGTGCCCTCGGGTCCCAGACTCTCCTACCAATGGAAGCATCTTCCCAACATCCGCTCTGTACAGGCCATTCAGTATACTGTATGTTTCAATTCGATCCCCCCTCGTCCTTCTAATCTCCATTGAGTATAGATCCAGAGTCCTCAAATGTTCCTCATATGTTAAGCTTTTCATTCCTGGGACCATTCTCATGAACCTCCTCTGAACATGCTTCAAGGCCAGTACATCCTTCCTGAGACATGGGGCCTAAAACTGCACACAATACTCCAAATGTGGCCTGACCAGAGCCTTATAGAGCTTCAGAAGTACATCCCTGCTTCTATATTCCGGTCCTCTCAAAATAAATGCCAACATTGCATTTGCCTTCCTAACTACGGACTCAACCTGCAAGTTTATCTTGAGAGAATCCTGGACTAGAACTCCCAAGTCTCTTTGCACTTCAGACTTCTGAATTTTCTCCCCATTTAGGAATAGTCCATGCTTTTATTCTTCTTACCAAAGCGCATGACCTCACACTTTCCCACGTTGTACTCCATCTACCACTTCTTTGCCCACTCTCCTAACCTGTCCAAATCCTTCTGCAGCCTCGCTACCTCCTCAATACTACCTGTCCCTCTACCTATCTTTGTATTGTCTGCAAACTTAGCCAAAATGCCCTCAGTCCCTTCATCTAGATCATTAATTTATAAAGTGAAAAGTTGTGGTCCCAACGCTGACCCTTACGGAGCACCAATTGTCACCAGCTGCCATCCTGAGAAAGACCCTTTTAACCCCACTCTCTGCTTTCTGCCAGACAGCCAATCTTCTATCCATGTTAGTACCCTGCCTCTAACACCATGGGCCCTTATCTTACTAGCAGCCTCCTGTGTGGCACCTTCTTGAAGTCCAGGTAGATAACATCCATTGGCTCTCCTTGATATAACCTGCTCATTACTTCCTCGAAGAATTCTAACAGATTTGTCAGGCATGACCTCCCCTTGATGAAGCCATGCTGACTTTACCCTATTTTACCATGCCCTTCCAAGTATTTAAAAATCTCATCCTTCACAATGGACTCTAAAACCTTACCCACAACCAAGGTTAGGCTAATCGGCCTGTAATTTTCAGTCTTTTGCCTTATTCCTTTTTTAAACAGGGGTGTCATGTTAGCGATTTTCCAGTCCTCTGGGACCCTCCCTGACTCTAGTGATTCCTGAAAGACCACCACTAAAACCTCCACTATCTCTTTAGCTATCTCCTTAAAAACACTGGGGTGTAGTCCATCTGGTCCTGGTGATTTATCCACTTTCAGGCCACTCAGTTTTTCTAGCACCTTCTCCTTGGTGATGGCCACCATATTCATCTCTGTCTCTGACTCTCTCGAATTTTTGGGATATTACTTGTGTCATCCACCGTGAAGACTGATGCAAAGTAATTATTCAGTTCCTCAGCCATTTCCTTGTTCCCCACTACTATCTCTCCAGCATCACCTACCAGTGGTCCAATATCCACTTTTGCCTCTCTTTTGCCCTTTATATATCTAAAGAAATTCTTACAGTCCTCCTTTATATTACTAGCTAGCTTACCCTCATATTTAATCTTCTCCCTCCTTATTTCTTTTTTTGTTGCCCTTTGTTGGTCTTTGTAAGCTTCCCAATCCTCTGGTTTCCAACTGCCCTTTGTCACATTATATGCTTTCTCTTTTGTTTTTATGCTATCCCTGACTTCTTTAGTCAGCCATGGTTACCTCATCGTCCCTGTACCATGCTTCTTTTTCCTGGGGATGAATTTTTGCTGTGTCTCCTCAATTACTCCTAGAAACTCCTACCATTGCTGTTCCACTGTCTTTCCTGCTAGGCTCCTCTCCCAGTCAATTCTGCCCAGCTCCTCCCTCATGTCTCTGTAGTTGCCTTTATTCAGCTGTAATACCATTACCACTGATTCCAGTTTCTCCCTCTCAAATTGCAGATCATATTATGATCACTGCCTCCTAAGGGTTCCTTCACCTTAAACTCCCTTATCAAGTCTGTCACATTACACAACACTAAATCCAGTATTACCTGTTCCCTAGTGGGCTCCACCACAAGCTGTTCCAAAAAGCCATCTCATAGACATTCCACAGATTCCTTTTCTTGCAATCCACTATCAACCTGATTTTCCAAGTCCACCTGCATATTTATCCCCATAATCACTGTCACTTTGCCTTTCTTACACATCTTTTCTATCTCCTGGTATATCTTGCACCCCAGCTCCTGACTACTGTTTGGAGGCCTGTGCATAATTCCAAGTATGGTTACTTCTTTACATCTGCGGTTCCTCAATTCTTCCCACACAGATTCTACACCATCTGACCCTACTTTGTTTCTTACTATTGATTTAATTTCATTTCTTAATAATAAGGCAACCCCACCCCCTCTCCCCACCTGCCTATCTTTTTGATAAGATGTATATCCTTGGATATTCAGCTCCCAATCCTGATCCCCTTGTAACTATGTCTCCGCGATGCCCACCACGTCGTATCTGCCAATTTTGATCTGCACCACAAGCTCATTTACCTTATTCCTTATACTGTGTGCATCAGATATAACACTTTCAGTCCTGTACTAACCGTCCGTCCCTCTTCTCATTGTCACTCATTTATCCAGTGTGCTTGAAATTTGATTCCTATCCCTTTCCAAACACTCTGTCCTATTTGTGTCTGTGCTGGACACGTTAATAAGCTCTCCTGAATTCTCCTTTCCTGTCATATTTTTCATATTTTTTACACACAGTGGAATCTACCCCTACAGATGTGAGCCTGTTGCTTTGTTCCCCACTGGGGGAAGTTTTACCCTTCCCTTCTCCCCAACTTTCTAGTTTAAAGTCCTGTTGACAAGCCTATTTACCCTTTTCAGTAAAACATTGGTCCCAGCTTGGTTCAGGTGGAGACCATCCGAGCGGTACAGATCCCTTCTGTTCCAATACTGATGCTAGTGCCCCATGAAAAGGAACCCCTCTTTCCCACACCACTCCTTTAGCCACGTGTTTACTTCCCTTATTCTTACGTCCCTATGCCAACTTGCACGTGGCTCGGGCAGTAATCTGGAGATTATAACCCTCAAGAACCTGCTCTTTACTTTTGTTCCTAGCTCCTGATAATCCCTGAATATGTCCTCTTTCCTAGTGTTGCCTATGTTGTTTGTTCCGACGTGGACCATACCTACTGGATCCTCCCCAACTCACTCCAATATCTTTTCAAGCCGTTCACAGGTATCCCTTACCCTGGCACCGGGCAGGCAACACACCATGCGGGCCTTTCGATCTGGCTTACAAAGGATACTATCTATTCCCCTGACTATAAAATCCCCTACAACTACCACTTGTCTTTTTGCTCCCCCATCTTGAATGGCCTCCCATGCCATGTGCAGTGGTCAGTTGGTTCATCCTCCCTGCAGCCATTTTCCTCATCCACACAGGGAGCAAGTACTTCATACCTGTTGGGCAAGGTCAAGAGCTGAGGCTCCTCTGTTCCTGACTGCAGGATCCCTCTACCTGCTTCACGTGCAGTCACCCCCTGCAGTTCCTGGCCACTGACCAAATTTGAAGTACTTAATCTACCGGGTGTGACTGCCTCCTGAGACAAAGCGTCCAGGTACTTCTCCCCCTCCCGGATGTGTCGCAGTGTTTGAAGCTCAGATTCCAGCTCATCAACTCTGAGCTGAAGTTCCTCGAGCAACCAATACTTGCTGCAGATGTGGTCACTGCCATTCGCAATGGGATCAGCCAGCTCCCACATCATACAGCTACAACACATCACCTGTCCAGCCATTTCTACTTATTGAGTTAATTAAATTTAGTGATACTTTATTTCTATGTTCTTTTTCAAATCTAATGCATGTTTCCTACCAGCAAATCAGGTCACAGCATCCCTGTGACATCACTTCAGCTTTTTCTCGCAGCTACAATGTGCCCTGAGCTCCAGTAGGTTTATACTCACTCTGCTGCTGCTAGTGGTCTTCACAGTGGCTTTTATTTGTTGGTTAGAGGGGGAGGGAGGGAGGGAAACACGGTAGTAGTGTTTGGGCTCTAACTGTCCCTTGACAACATTTCCTCCTCAAACCCCTGTTTGGTAGTGGTGACTGCACTGATGCAAATCTTCGCCCCAACCACCAACCAGTGACATCGCCGCCCTCTGCTGACCTGATGGCGGGTGTGTCCAAAACCAGTTGTCACAGTCTGAGGATCCTGGGTAGATGATTGAGGACGGAGATGAGGAGACATTTCTTCACCCAAAGAGTGGTGAGCCTCAGGAATTAATTACCACAGGAAGTAGTTGATGCCAAAACATTGAATGTATTCAAGAGGTAACTAGCTATAGCACTTGGAGTGAATGGGATCAAAGGTTATGGGGAGAAGGCAGGATCAGGCTATTGAGCCATGATTGTGATGAATGGCAGAGCAGACTTGAAGGGCCAAATGGCCTCCTCCTGTTCCTATCTTTTATGTTTCTATGTTTCTACCCCACTCTGATTCCTACTCTTTTTCCCTCTGTCCTATGCCCTCTGGTCTTCCCCCTCCAGACCCCTGTCCTTCTCACTGCTCTCTTCCAGTGCTCTTCTGCCTCCTCAACCCCTCTACCTCTCTCCTCTACCTTCCTGCCTTTCCTCACCTCCCACTCTCCCCATCCTACTCTCCCTTCAACACTCCTTCTCCTCTTTTCTCTCTCTTCTTCCATCCTGTACTGATTATAATGAGGTCAGCCAGGTGGATCTTATAGAATATGAATTCTGTTTGGAGCTGTTGACCTGGTCCAATCAGGGAGCCCTGGCTGACAGATATAAACAGGAGTATCAGAGGTTCTGTTCACTCTGAAAGCTGGCTCTGAGGGAGCCGGATCAGTGTCAAAGACTCTCCACATGCAAATAAAGAGTGAATTGGTGACAGGATACCAGCCTCTGTTAAGTTATTTCATTCCGTCCCTTCCATATCTCCTCTCCTCTTGCTTTCGCCCTTCTCTTCCATCCTTCTGCCCCTTTTCACTGCTCACCGGTGGAGTGCCAGCAAGTATTGCAGGTTATGCTAAACAGGTGGAGGGAGGGTCGAAAGTTTTAGTTGGGGTGGGGGTTGGGGTGTGTGGGAGGATGGTGATGTTGAGTAACAAATCATAGGGCGTATGATTGTATGTTTAGGCCTGTGGGAAAGTGGTATTGTGACCACAAACTGGGTTGGGGGAGAGCAATTGTTACCCCAGACCTGCGCAGCAGGTTAGTGTTCCTACGCCTGGATGAAGGGAGGGGAATTGTAGCCCAGGAGCTGAGAACACTGGTGTCCAACAACTACTTCTGTACTATGTGTGACTCCATGGTGGCATCTGAGCCCATGTTCGCAAATCATTAGCCTGTGCTTGATTAGATTGCAGGTACAGTGATGTTACCACTTAGCCAGCATCTCTTCAACCCATTTGATCATAGCCAGGATGGCTCCTGCATTGGGTGTTCTTCCCACTTCCACAACGTACTTTCTGAAATTCCTTTTTCTCATTTACATGCTGCATTTCAGATAACCAAAGAGATAACATGAGATTCAAAATTATGTTGACAATACCCAGCTTTACCTCACCTTTATTTACATTCATCCCGCAATTGCCTCCCTGTTATTAGACTACACATCTGAGGTCCTCCACAAACATTCAGTCACTATACCACCAACATTCAGTAGCAGCAGTGTGTACCATGTTTAAGATGCACTGCAGAAATTCACCAAAAACCCTCAGGCAGCATCTTCCAAATGCACAACCAATTCCAACTAGAAGGGCAAAGGGAGTAGATAAACGCAACCAACACACCTGCAAGTTCCCCTCCAAGCTACTCACCATTCTGACTTAGTGTCGCTGGATCAAAATCCTGGAATTCCCTCCCTAACAATGTTGGGAGTCTACCTACTGCACATGGACTGTAATGGTTCTAGAAGGCAGCTCACCACCACCTTCTTAAATGAAAGTAGGGATGGGCAATAATTGCTTGCCTAGCCAGTGATGCCCAAATCTGCCAAGTGAATAAAAATGTCCTGAATGAGCTGAAATTTCATCCAATTAAACACTGCAAAGGTCAAAGCCATTGTCTTCACTCCACCAGTTCCCACATTTTTAATTTTTCCCTCCTATATTTCCATCTCTCTTAAATAAATGCAAATTCTTACTATGTTTGTTGTTATTAAGAAGAAACAAAAAATTCTTACTGACCCTGTACTTTCTCAAAACACTGCTGTTATGGACAAGGTATTTATTCTGAGTTTAAAAAAAAACTATATAACTATACCCTGAAGCTTGACAGTTATGCACAGTTTGGATTGATTCACCATTATATTGATGTGAGGTACATTCAGACAAAAGTTAACAATTTGCTCCATTAACTCCACAATTCCGAAATAATATAGCAAACAGTAATCCAAAAAATACCAGAGTCCTGATGATCGTGTTTTAGGTAAAGGGGATCCATTTTAAAAGCTCCAATTAGTTCTGATCTTTTCTTCACCCTAGAAGTGACAAATTTTTTAATGAATTGATTGACTTAGCTGTATATTGTATCAAATGTGATGCATACACCACTTTGTTAGTTAGGCCTGTGTTAACTTGTGTTATGAATCATGCAGCTCTTTTTTATCTGTATATATTTGAAGACCTTTAAAATTCCTTGCATGTAGGAAAGGCATTAAATTAGAAAAAATGGTGAGAAAACAGTAACTGCTCAGGAATAACAAACTCGAGCACATTTTAAAAAAAGTCAACACCAGGTTAGGCAGGATGAAACTTTTACAAAGCTGAATACACATTATTGTAATATATACACCTTACAATTGTCTTTATACAGATTATACACTGTATAATTTTGTAAAAGATCCTGGATGCCATGGATAGAACAGAGTATGAGCTAAAGCTAGCTAGTAATATACAAATGAATAGTAAGAGTTTCTACAAGTATTTACATAGGAAAAGAATAAATAAACCTACTGTCATTGATTAGGACATGTTTGTCTTTAATAAAGTAGATTTAGAAGACTTTTCAAAGACACTGTATAATCAAGAGATGAAAGACAATTAGGAAATTACAACAATCATTATCACCAGATGGTATCTGGTGAAACTAGCACTTAGAGCACAAATTCATAACTATGGCAGGCCTGTCACAAAAATGATACTTCATTGCCAATGACTGATTGATTATTGGAAACTGTTTCTACATTCCATAGGGAATATTAGTTGCATTCTGTTTATTGTTTGCACTTCAAATAATGACACTCTATCATCTGTAGGGGCCACGGGATCAGTTTATTGAGTGTCCAATGACATTAAAACTGAAAAAATCCAGTGCAAAAACCCAAAATCATGACCGTGTCTACTTGAAGATGCAAAGAATTTGGTCTGCATTGATGCGCACTGAACAAAAAGCCTCACAGCAATCATGTTGATTGTTGTAAAAAAACATTTAGTTCACTAATATCGTTTAGGGAAGGCAATCTACCATCTTTTCCTGGTCCAGACCCACAGCAATATGTTTGACTCTTAACTGCCCTCTGGGCAATTATGGATGGGCAAAAAAGATGGCTTAGCCAGTTATGCCCAAATCCGTGATAACAATAGTAAAAATCTAACAAATCATTTTTCAATGGTGAAAATAATGAACAGCAAATAAAACTTACCTAAAGACTTCGGCATTCAAGGAGAGCGATGCCCCCCCATCACTTTCCCCTCAACTCATCCCTTCTTCTGAACTTACCTCAGACTGTATAATCACAATAACTTCTAACCACCCGATTTGGAAGGGATCAATATCCTGGTTGGGAGATTTGCTCGTGCTACTCGGGATGCTTGAAATTAGTAAGGATGAGGTGGGGGAGGGGGGAGGGGGGAGGACAGGGGGTACAGGGGGATGGATGGGGACAGGACCCAGAGAAATAGTAACAAAAGGGATAAGTCTGAGACTGGTACAGTTGAGAAGAGGAGCAAGTCAAATAGTCAAAGTAGGCAACAGCAAGACAGAGAATGAGGTGAGACTGATAAATTAAACTGCATTTATTTCAATGCAAGAGGCCTGACAGGTAAGGCAGAGGTACTCAGAGCACATATCATATCAATTACAGAAACGTGGCTCAGAGAAGGGCAGAACTGGCAGCTTAATGTTCCAGGGTATAAATACCAAGAGAGAGGATAGAAACGGGGGCAAGACAGGAGGGGGAATGGTGTTGTTGGTTAGGAATAACATTAAGGCTGTAGTTGAGGAGGATATTCCTGGGAGTATATCCAGTGTAGTTATTTGGGTGGAACTGAGAAATAAGAACTGAATGACCACCTTATTGGGATTGTACTACAGCACCCCCAATAGTCAGCGGGAAATTGAGAAGCAAATATGTAAGGAGATCTCAGACATCTGTAAGAATTATAGGTTTGTAATGGTAGGGGATTTTAACTTTCCAAACATAGACTGGGACTGCTATAGTGTTAAGGGCTTGGGCGGTGAGGAATTTGTTATATGTGTACAAGAAAATTTTCTCATTCAGTATGTAGATGAAGCTATGAGCGAAGGAGCAAAATTTGACCTTCACTTGGAAAATAAGACAGGGCAAATGGTATCAGCAGGGGGGCACTTTGGGGCCAGCAATCATAATTCTATTAGTTTTAAAGTTGTTATGAAAAAGGATAGACCCGATCTAAAGGTTAAAGTTCTAAATTGGAGTACGGCCAATCTTGACAGTGTTAGACAGGAACTATCAAATGTTGATTAGGGGCAGCTAGTCGCAGGTAAAAGGAATGGTTGGAAAATGGGAGGCCTTCAAAAATGAGATAACAAGAATCCAGAGACAGTATATCCCTGTTGGAATATTGGATGAATGTTGGATGACTAGCAAAATTGAGGCTCTGGTCAAGAAAAAGAGGCATATGGCAGGTATTGACAGCTGGGAATGAGTGAATGCCTAGAGGAGTATAAGGACAGAAGGAGTATGTTCAAGAGGGAAATCAGGCAGACAAAAAGGGGACATAAGATATCTTTGGCAAATAGGGTTAAGGAGAATCCAAAGAGATTCTACAAATCATTAAGGGCAAAAGAGTAACTAGGGAGAGAATAGGGTCCCTTAAAGATCAACAAGGCCGTATATGTGTGGAACCGCAGGAGATGGGTGAGATACTAAATGAGTATTTTGCTTCAGTGTTTACAGTGGAGAAGGATATGGAAGCCAGAGAATTTGGAGACATAAATAGTGATATCTTGTAAAGTGTCCACATAACAGAATATGAGGTGCTGAACTTCTTGAAATGCATAAAGCTGGATAAATCCCCAGGATCTGATGAGGTGTATCCTAGGTTGATCTGTATGCCTCCCTAAATGTTAAATACACTGTGAAGAGAGTTCTTGTTGAGACAGATATTTTGAAGTTTATGAACAACACTATTTGCTCTGTTATAAGATCTCAGACATACAAATAGTCTGAGTTCTGTACTTATTGAACAAATATGCATTAACTGCAATAACAATAATAATAAGGATATTGATTAGTGAAAGGGAGTTGGGCATAATTAACAGTAGAATATCACATGTTGTGATGGCATTTAACTGTTTTAAAGGTACATAGTCTGGAATTTATGTTAAAAATCAACACAGTGAATTAAAAAATAGTCAGTAGACTTCATCGGCAACTTACCACATGGCAGAGCAATCAAAGTTCACCAAAAGCCACTTATGAGGATTAAAGTTGAAAGAATCTGAAAACTGATAAAGCAGATAAAATTGTAAAATACTATTCACAGATATAAGGTCCAATGATGCAGTTTCACTATGGGAGCAGAGGAAAGACTCATGATGAATTAGAATTGGTAGAGACAGCTAACTTATTTTAATAATGATGCAATTGTTGATATTCTGGTTAAGTGAACATAATATGCAATGAATTCACAACTCTTAACAGGCTGTTGCACACAGTTGAAACAGAACTGCAAAGTTAAAAAAATAGAATGTTTGCTTTGGTAGTTGAAAATATATTAAGGCCGGTCAGAGAAGCAGCCAGGGATCTAATCGCAGAAGATGCCGAAAACAAATGTTTGGAGCTAAGGGGCAGTCATCAATCAGTAAGATTATAAGAAATATTTACATGTAAATTCACAGACTTTACAGCTTCTCATTTTCACAGCTTGTGGGTAACTGAGAACCGAATTCTTCCAATTTTGACCATCTTTTTCTACTTCTGATTGATAAGGGGATCAACGGTTATGGGGCAGGAGAATGGGGCTGAGAAAACATATTAGCCATGATGAAATGGTGGAGTAGACTCAATGGGCTGAATGGCTTCATTCTGCTCCTGTTCTTTACGGTCTTATGGTTTAAATAAAACAAAGAATTGCGGATGCTAGAGATCTGAAACTAAAACTGGAAATTCTGGAAAAACTCTGGCAATATCTGCTGGGAGAAAGCAGAATTAATGTTTTGAGTCCAGTGACTCTTCATCTGAACTCAAAACATCGACTCTGCTTTCCATTCACAGATACAGCTGAATCTGCTCTGTTTCTCCAAACAATTTCTGCTGTTCTTAACTTGTCTGGTTAACCAGGATTGGCTTACCTGCTTCCAAGAATCTCACCCTCCCTCTGAAACATCTTTGCTGAGCAAGAAATACTTTCTTAAACATCTGCCTCTGTTCCTTAACCATCTTTGCTGCTAAACTCTTTCCCCCGCCCACTCCAACCAGCTCTGCCTTCATTCCTTTGTAAATACTCCTACTTAAGCTTAGCAATGTTGTTTCCAATTCAGGTTCTTCATTTTAAAAGAATATTGTTTGCTTTGATTTAATTTGAATTTAAACTGTATTTTTATTCCTAATCAATCATAAAATGCAATGTTCTGTAAACAACGTCACTTTTATGTACATTGTCTTTATGACATGCTGAATTTTTGGTAACTTAAAAAGAAAATTACTCTTAGTTTTTAATTACCATGCAAAAACAATTTGATTTGTATGTTGATATGCTAGGATCGATTTTTAATATTAATGGACAGAAAATCCCAGGAGCCCACAGACCTTTGTGCTTGGCCTCAATATGTGATTTGATGCTAGACTATAAAATCTGTTTTATAATGTACATGTTAAAAGGCAAAAGACAAGTAAAGTCTTTGGGATTGTAAATCCAATGGATATTTGCTCCACTGTTAGATGCAAGACACAATGCTTATTCCTTTCTGCAGTAACTAAAAGACATCATAGGACTTTTATATAACAGATTTAATCCATTTACTGTTGAATTATTTTTCATTGTTTCCTTGTAGTTTAGAATTGTTTGACCTCTTGGTTGTTCAGTAATATGGAATACTGTTTACTAGATTAACCATAAAGCATTTGTCACATTCCAGATTTACTGAAAGGAAATTATGCAATATAAACAATACTTATTATAGAGATGATACCTTAGAATATGCTGTTTTCTTGACTAATAGGTTGATGGAGCAGATTCAGAGCAGCTTGAGGAATAAGGGATTTTAGCTACAGGAGAAGCCAGAATTGTCCTCCTTTGTACCAAAGGAAGTTGAAGGGAGATCTGATAGACATGTATAAAGGGTGGTAGATAACAAATACCTTATACCATTAGCACACTCAGATCTAAAGGAAACAAATTTGTGGTTTTAGGTAAAATATAGGAAGGATGTGACAACTTTTTTTTACACATCCAGCAGTAATGATCTGGAACTCGCCATCTATATGAGTGATAGAAGCAAAAGTGATGAGACATTTTGAAACAAAACTGGATAGGTACACAAGGGAAATAAACTTGCAATGTTACAGGGATAGAATCAAGTGATGACATCGACTGGATTAATCTACAGAGAGCTGACATGGATGTAATGTGCTGAATGGCTTCCTTCTGTGCTCTTACAATTTGAAGACGAGATGTAATTTAGCAGTGTATTATATCTATTGTCATTTTGCCTTTTTGTTTCTGAAAACTGAGGAACAGAATTAAACTGTCCAACATCGGCAGACCACAGCAGACCCTTGGTGAATTATACAAGAGAGTGTGGGAACAGTGACTTAGCCTGGGTGAGGGAGAACTAAGGGTTTTGGCTGCCCAACATCAGACAAATGTTCAGCAGAGATCGCACAGGGATCCTGACCTGCAGTGGCACCTGGTAATTCGGATACCTATTTATAAACAGAGAGTGTGATCTAAGCAGGACAGAGTTTGTAAATACATTATCTCATACAAACATAGAAAACAGGAGCAGCAGTCAGCAATTCATCCCTTTGAACCTGGTCCACTACTTAATATGATCATGGCTGATCATCCAACTCAGTACCCTGTTCCTGCTTTCTCCATTTACCCTTTGGTAACTTTAGCCTGAAGGATTACATGTAAGTCCTTCTTGAAACTGTTCAAAGTTTAGGCCTCAACTGCTTTCTGTGGCAAAGAACTCCACAGGTTCCCCACTCTGCGGGTGAAGAAGTTTCTCCTTATCTCAGTGTTAAATGGTCTACCCCGTATCCTTAGTCTGTGACCCCAGGTTCTGGACTCCCTGGTCATTGGGACTTTCCTTCTTGCATTTATCCAGTCTAGTTCTGAATTTTATAGGTTTCAATTAGATTCTTCCTCATTCTTTTGAACTCCAGTTGACTATAATCCTAACTAATCTAGTCTCTCTTCATACATCAGTCATGCCATCCCAGTAAACCTTTGATACACTCCCTCCATAGCCAGAACATCTCTCTTCAGATAAGGTGATGAAAACTGCACACAGTGCTCCAGGTGTGGTCTCACTTAGGCCCTAAACAATTGCAGTAAGGCTTTCCTGCTCCTGCACTCAAATCCTCTCATGAAAGCCAATATACTATCTGCCTCCTCCACTGCCTGCTGCAGTTACATATCTACCTTCAGCAACTGGTGTACAAGGATACTCAAGTCTTGCTGCACCTCCCCCTTTCCCAATCTATCGCCAGTCAGATAATAATCTATCTTTTTTTATACCAAAGTGGATAACCTCACATTTATCCACATTATACTTCATCTGCCATGCATTTGCCAACTCACTCAACTTTTCCAAATTACACTGAAATATCTCTGCATCATTCTCACCATTCACTATCCCACCCAGCTTTGTGTCATCTGCAAACTTGGAGATATTACTTTAGTTCCCTGCCTAAATCATTAATATATATTGTGGATAGCCGGTGTCCAAGCACTGATCCCTGCGCTAACTCACTAGTCACTGCCTGTCACTTGCAAAAAGAAGTTTATTCCTACATTTTGTTTCCTGCCTGCCAGCCAGGTCTCTATCCATGTCAATAACATACCGTGCACTTCAATTTTATATGCTAATCTCTTTCGTGGGATCATATCAAAAGCCTTCTGAAGATCCATAAAACTCATGGTAAACACAGTCCAAGTTGTTCAAGATAACTTCAGAAGATGCTAATCTATATGACTGTAGAAGAAAATGTCAGCACAGCAGTCTGTAATGGACCATGTGACAGCATCAATGGCAGCTACCAACAGGAGCTTGCCATTTTACTGTGGAAGAAAGAGTCATGCATGTTCAAAATACTGCTCCAGAATCATCTATAGACAACCTCATGGGCAGGCAGCAAAACACAAATTTTCAGTGGGTATTGCTGGAGATAGAACCTCCACCCATTTCAAACAGAACCTTCAGTGCAGGGGTTTTATATGTTAGGAATTCTTGACTCCCTTGCTTTCACAAACACCAAGCAAAAATTCCTCAGTAGACAGTCTTTTGTTGCGAACTCAAAGCTACCTCAGCACTTTCTATACTTATCAGTTAGAAAGACATAGGCAACAGGTACATGGAAACACTGCCTACAAGTCCCTCTCCAAGCCACCCACCATCCTGCTTTTCCTTATTATTGCTGGGTCAAAATCCTAGAACTCCCTTCCTAACAGTATTGTAGATGTACCCAACATAGAGGCTCAAGAACATAGCCCATCACCAACTCCTCAAGGGCAAATAGGAATGGATGATAACTAGTGGTCCAGTCAGTGCTGCTTACATCCTCTGACTGAATAAAAACCTGTTAATTATTCCCTATCTCTAAGTAAGGCTTTTCGACTCTTTGCGTAATATATCACTCGTTTATTTATTTCTGCAGACGGTAAATTGGAATTTTGGCAGGATGAAAAAAACGCATATTATCTAAATGGAGAGATTACAGAACTCTGAGATGCAAAAGGATCTGGGTGTCCTTGTGCATGAATTGCAAAGGTGAATATGCAGGCACAGGAAATAACTAGGAAAGCTAATTGAATTTTATTATTTGTTGCAAAGCATTTGAATGTACAAATAGAGAGGTTATCCTTCAGATATAAAGGATGTTAGTGAGACCATATCTGAAGTAGTGTGTACAATATTAGTCTCCTTATTTAAAGAAGAATATAAATACATTGGAAGCAGTTCAGAGATTGTTTACCATTATAATACTGGAATGAGTGGGTTGTCTTACGGATAAAGTGTACAGGCTAAGCTTGTTTAGAAGATTAAACGGTGACTTGATTTAAACAAATCAGATCCTGAGAAGTCTTGACAGGGTCAATGTGGAAAAGATGTTCCTTCTTTTGAGAGTCATAGAGTCATCGAGTAAAACAGCATGGAAGCAGGCCTTTCAGCCCAAACTGGCCCACGCTGACCGTAGTGCCCACTCAGTTAGTTTCCAATTGTCCACATTAGATCCATAGCCCTCTAAACACTTCTCTAAATGTTTTTTAAATCTTGCCATTGTACCTTCCTCAACCACTTTCCCTGGCAGCCAATTCCATATATGCACCTCTCTCTGTGTGAAGAAGTTGTCCCTCAGGTCCTTCTTAAATCGGTTACCTCTCACCTTAAACCTATGCCCTCTAGTTTTCAATTCCCCATCCCTGGGATACAGATTATATACATTCATCCAATCTATGCCCTTCATGATTTTATACACCTCAATAAGGTCACCTCTCATTCTCCTATGTTCTAAGGACTAAAGTCCTATCCTGGTCAACCTCTCCCTATAACTCAGGCCAACTAGTCCTAGCAACATCCTTGTAAGTCTTCTTTGTACACTTTCCAGTTTAACGATGTCTTTCCTATAACACGGTGACCAAAACTATACACAATACTCCTATACAAAATACCTCACCAACGACTTATACAACTGTAACATAACATCCTAACTCCTATACTCAATGCTTTGGTCAATGAAGGCCAGCGTGCTAAATGCCTTCTTCACCACCTTGCCCACCTGTGACCCCACTTTCAACGAACTATGTACTTGTACTCCTTGGTCCCTCTGTTCCATAACACTCCTCAGGACCTTACCATTCACTGTATAAGTCCTGCCTTGGTTTGACTTTCCAAAGTGCAACACCTTACAGTTATCCGTAGTGAATTGCATTTGCCAATCCTGAGCCCACTTCCCCATCTGGTCAAGATCCCTCTGTAATTTTTGATAACCTTCTTTGCTATCAACGATACCTCCTAATTTGGTATCATCCGCAAACTTACTGATAATGCCTTGCACATTCACATCCAGTTCATTTCTGTAAATGACAAATAACAGAGGTCCCAGCACTGACACCTGTGGTACCCCACTAGTCACAGGCCTCCAGTCTGAGAAACAACCTTCAAACATCACCCTCTGCTTCCTACCATCGAGCCAATTTTGAATCCAATTAACTAGCTTTCCCTGGATCCCATGCAACCTAACTTATGAGAGATTCTAGAATTAAGGGTCACTGTTTTAAAATAAGGTGTCATCCATTTAAGACAATGATGAAGAGAATCTTTTTTTCTCTCACAGAGGTCTGTAAGTCTTTGAAATTGTCTTCCTCAAAATGTGATGGAAGAAGAGCCTTTGAACATTTTTAAGGTAAGTGTGGATAAATTCTTGATAGTGAAGGTTGGGGCTAGGGTGCAAAAGATTATCATGGTTGGCAGGAAAATGGAGTTATCAGATCAGCCGGGAACATTTTGAATGGTGGAGCAGGATTGAGTGATGAATGATCTACTCCTGCCCCTACTTTGTGCATTTAATGTTCATATGATTTATTCTATGCTTTAACCCAATATTGCTACATGCACATTGAGATACCAGTCTGGAGTATCTCAGGATCTGGGTGTGTGCACACACATTGTTCCTGAGAATGCTTTGTCCATTTCCCTAAGTAAAGCTCTTCGAATCCTTATCTACTGTGACACTCTTTTATTTACAATATGTACATAGTAGGTTCTCAAATACAACTCTCTACATGTAATGTCTAAGATCTCACTCTTCACATTCTCATTTTAGACTGATGTCAGAGTCATGTGGCCAAATGCATCGTGATTATTTACATGACGGTCATTATGTCACAGAAATCAGGCTGTATAAAACAACCGAGGGCTCTAGTGTGTATTGTCATAGAGTCATAGAGGTCTACAAAGAAAGGCCCTTTAGCGCCAGTCGAAAACAATCACCTATCTATTCTAATCCCGTTTTCCAGCAATTAGTCCATAGCCTTGTTTGCCTCGGCACCACAGGTACACATCTAACTTTTAAAAATATTGTGAGGATTTCTGCTTGTACTGGGTGAGTTCCAAACTCCCATCACCCTCTGGGTGAAAATTGTTTTCCTACCATCTGCTCTAAACCTCCTGCCCCTTCCTTCAAATCTATGCCCCCGATCACTGACCTCACCGTCAAGGGGAAAGTTTCTTCCTGCCTACCCTGCCTATGCCCCCTTAATTTTATACATTTCAATCATGTCCCGCTTCTGTCTCCTATGCTCCAAGGAAATGAACCCGCAGTCTATCAAATCTCTCTTCATAACTAAAATTCTCTAGACCAGGAAACATCCTGGTAAATCTCCTCTGCACCCTCTCCAGTGCAATCACATCCCTCCTATAATGTGGATTCCAGAACTGCACACAATACTCTTAGCTGTGGTCTAACCACCGTTCCACCATCGCCTCCCTGCTCTTAAACTCTGTGCCATGGTTAATGAAGGCAAGTACCCTATATGCCTTCTTAACAACTTTTACCTATGTGTCCAGCCACCTTGAAGGACCGATGGACATGCACCCCAAGGTCCCTCTGACCCTTAGTGCTGCCCAGAGTCCTACCATTCATCATGTACTCCCTGTCCTGGTTTATCTTGCCAGTTGCATCAACTCATACAGATTACATTCCAACTGTCACTGATCAGCCAATCTGACCAGTCTGACTGTATCGTCCTGTAATCTAACGCTATCCTCTTCACTGTTTACATCCTCATCAATTTATGTATCAGCCGAAAGAAAAACCGAAAGAACTGCGGATGCTGTAAATCAGGAAAAAAAACAAAGTTGCTGGAAAAGCTCAGCAGGTCTGGCAGCATCTGTGAAGGAAAAAACAGAGTTAACATTTTGGGTCCAGTGACCCTTCCTCAGAACTGATGGTGGCTGGGAAAACATCAGTTTATATGCAGAAAAAAGGGAGGGGAATGGGGTAGGGAGCAAACAAAAGGATAGAGCCTAAAGAGAGACCAGGGCAGTTGGACAGACAAAGAGTTGGTAACAATCAGGCTGGGAGGGTTAAGAGTTGTTAATAGGGACTATTAGTGTCTAGTATGTAATAGCAGGCTATGTGGTAACAAGGCCTGGTGTGTGGGGTAGGGGGCTGGGACATGGGAGAGTTTAGGCTCTAAAATTATTGAACTTGATGTGGAGTCCAGAGGGCTGTAGTTCCCCAAGCGGAAAATAAGGCGTTGTTCTTCCAGCTTGCGTTGAGCTTCACTAGAACACTGCAGCAAGCCGGAGACAGAGATGTTGGCCAGGAAACAGGGTGGTGCATTAAAGTGGCAGGCAACAGGTAGCTCAGGGTCTTTTTTTGCAAGCAGAACGTAGATGTTCTGCGAAGCGGTCACCCAGTCTACGCTTCGTTTCCCCAGTGTAGAGGAGACCACATTGTGCCGATTACTGAAACTTACTGATCAACCTTCCTACATTCAAGTCCAAATCATTTATATACCATGAACAGCAAGGGCACCAACACTGATCTCTGCAGAACCCCAGCTGGACACTGCTTTCCAGTCACAAAAATACCCCTGGAAAATCATCCTCTGCTTCCTGCCACTCAGCTAAATCTATATCCAATTTGACAAATTTCCTTGGATCACATGGGCTCTTACCTTCTGATGAAAAAGAAGAACTTAGCAAAAAATACAAAGTGAGAGAAACTATCTAGCCTGGTACATATCAACCCCAATTTGTAGGTTGATAGGTGAATGGGTATCTTAGATGTGTCCCTTGTAATGTGGATGAGAGTGACATGTGAATCAAGGGAACATTTCCTGATCAAATTGAACTGAATTGAATGAATTGAATTGAATTAGATTTATTGTCAGATGTACTCAAATGTGCACAGTAACAAGTTGATAAGTTGCCACTTACAGCACCATCTTAGGTACAATTGATATCATTTTCTACACTATCTATGAAAGTAATTGTTTGTGAACTCAAAAATAGGAAACTATTTAAGCTTAAATCAGCTTAAATATTTACTTCTAACATATCCTATTCGTTTTTATTTCAATCCTTCCCCCATGTCTGATCAGGTAACAGAAATTATTGCAAACAAACTTTCAGAACCATTCTCTACTCCATCCACTGCCTCTGTCAAACCAGCTGATGGAGAAACAGCACATGAATCAATTCAGCATTTTCTTTAATATCTCCAACAGTAATTTTTGACTATAATCAAAGCTCTGTAAATAATAGCTTTGAGTTATTTAGTTACTTTTAGACCCCTTCCTCTCCCATCTTTACTGATGAACTAATGTCCATTGTGCGCATATGATTTACATTTCTCACTTCAATATGCGTTAAATGTTAATTCTGATCTCTCTCTTTGCACCTTCTCTGCAGCTTTAACACTGTATTCTACACTCTGTGCTGCTACCCTGATGCACTTTGAATGGAACGACCTGCCTATGTAGCATGCGAAACAACACTTTTCACGGTACATGTGACAACAATCAATCAATCAATCACCTTAATTTGGATGCATAATATATACAATCCACCTTAGTCCATTTACGAACTAGTAGACATGTAAGTAACATCAACAAATATTATCTTTTCTAAAAATACGTTATGAGTCATGATTTGGGTCGAGTTAGAATACTGCGTTAAGAACTGTCACCCTTACCTCCACTCCATTTAAAAGAGGTCTGAACTCTGGACAGATAAAAGCACTTCCAGCATAGGCAGCATCAATGTGCATCCAGATATTTTCAGAAGTGCCTGAAATAATACACAGAAAATCAAACACATTTTATGCTTCATTAAGTGATCAACAGAGGCAAGGAAAACAAAGGAATTTAAGGAAAGAAGAGTAAACACTGCAAGGAAAAATGTTGACATTGGCAGAATATGAAATTGCTGATGATGTAAAAAAGCCCAGGAATACAATGGGAAAAGAAATACCTTTATTCTGCAAGGACAAAAAGAAACTCTGATAACCACTAAGAGGTTATAAGTCAGTGCTCAAGCTAAGGTCAAGGACATTCTTGGAAAATATAATCATATAAACATCCTTCATTAGTTTCAACATTGGACATAAGTGGGATTTGAACCCATATGGTCAGAGCATTTTAACTTGGATTCACTGACAGTAGCACTATGCCACCACCTCCCTATACAGTATGGCTGCTGAGTCAAATTCCTAGAACTCCCTGGCTATCAGCACTGTCAGTTGCCCATGTGGACTGCAGTGACTCAAGAATGTGACTCACCACCACAATCTGAAGGACAATTAGGGATGTGTAATAAATAATAAACACATCCCAAAAAAGAATAAAACAAATCCCAACAAGATGAGTTCAGTTTCATAACTTACTAACCTGATAACCTGAAGGGCCTGTTTCCACACTGTAGGGATTCCATGATTCTATGATTCTATGATAACATCAATGAAAATTACTGGATTGTTGCATTGACTCAACTGGCTCACTGATGCCCACTGACCGAACCTTTCATATTGCTCTTGTTCATGTGATTCTGGGTTTAAGAGTACATGATTGATGACGTAACATGGCTAAGGAAACCACTTGCGGGGATAAAACAAGCTTACTTCAGGACATCCCAAATAGCTTAACTGAAAATAAAGTAATGTTACTTTGGAATCAAATGTGGCAGTCAATGCACAAGGAACACAAACAGAAACAACTGACCAGATAATCTGTTAGGGATAGTAAGAACTGCTGATGCTGGAGTCAGACATAACACAATGTGGAGCTGGAGGAATACAGCAGGCCAGGCAGCATCTGAGGAGCAGGAAATTTGACGTTTCGGGTCATGATCCTTCTTCAGAAAAAATCCTGACCCGAAACGTCAGCTTTCCTGCTCCTCTGATGCTCCCTGGCCTGCTGTGTTCCTCCAGCTCCACACAAATAATCTGTTGTTGCTTTCTTGGATCACTGGATAAATGTTGTCCCTGAAACCTAGAAAATCTTTTGTTTTTGTTCAGTGGGATCAAAATTGGATATGGGAGGGTCTTGGTGTAACATCATACAGAAAGTTGGCATTTTCAAGAATGTTGTATCATTTCAGTACTGCACTGAAGTGTCAGCCTAGATTATGTGCTTAAGTTTCTGGTATGATAAGTTTCTGATACAAGTTTGAACTTGTAAACATCTGCCTGAGATATGAGAGTATTAGAACTGCACCAAGTTGACATTTAACTCTTGTAAATAATCACTGCAAAATGTAGAAACATTGGCAAAGCCTTTGGTGCAGCTATTGGATCAAAACAGTTGACTTTGCAATAGCTCTTTTCAAACAGCTTGGGAGTGCTGCCCCAGTTGGGAGACACAGGAAGTGGAATGGTTAAGGGTTTTTTGGATCATAGGTAAGTTTATGTTGGAGCACCAAGCAGTGGGTTTTAGGACCCCTAATTCTCCTGATATATATTAATGACAAAGTCATTAGTGTATGGAGCACAATTTCAAAATTTGCAGATGATACAAAACTTGCAGGTATTGTGAACTATGAGGATGATAGAGCAGATCATCAAAAGCTCATAGATAGGCTAGTAGAATGGACAGACAGTGAAAAATGAGATTTAATACAGATTCATGTTATGGATCCATTTTGCTAGGAAGAAATTGTAGGGACAATTTAAACTAAAGGGTATAATTCTAAAGAGGGGGCAAGAGCAGCAGGACATGGATGTATGTATGCATAAATTATTGAAAGTTGCACAGCGGATTGAAGGAACAATTATTGACACATATGCCATTCTGGAATTACTCGATGGGGGGATAGATCACAAAAGTAAGAAAGTTATGTTAAACCTGCAAATGTTAGTTTGGCCTCAAATGTAGTTTCGCATTCAGTTCTGAGCATCACATTTTAGGAAGGATCAGAAGGCATCAGAAAGAGTGCAGAAAAGATTCATGATTTCAGTCATGACAAACTTCAGCTGCAGGGAAAAACTGGAACTGCTCTTTTTGAAGAAGTAATAGTTGAGAGGAGATTTGATAGAGGTATTGAAAATAATGGAGGGTTTTGACAGAACAGATTGAGAGAACCTTTTCCTGTTGGTACAAATGATCGAGAACCAGTGGGCAAAGATTTGAGGCAAATGGCAAACAAGGGAATCTGACATGAGGGAAAAAACATTTTTACACAGTGAGTGGTTGAGGTCTGGAATGCACTGCCTGAAAATCAAGGCACTCAACATAACTGGTTACCTGAAAATGAAAAAATATGTAGAGCTACAAAGAGAAGGCAGGGAAGTGGCACAAGGTGAATTGTTTCTTCAGACAGAGAGCAGGCATGGTAGGTCTAAGGGCCTTCTACTCTGCTGTAACCATTCCATTGTTCTATGATTATCAAGCTGGGAATGGAAATAGGCAAGATAGGAGCAACGTCAATCACCCTCTAGGATAAGATACCAATGTAATGAAGCTACAACTGTTATCTGGATGCCAAACGCAAAAGAATCACGTTATAAACTGAAATAAGTAGTGTCATAATCAATAAACCAAAGAAAATGATCCATAGCTCAACAATATCCAGCTAAGAATGGCAGTTGAGAATCAAGCAAATAACTGGATGAGACACTGTAAACATTCCCATTCTTTTAACATGTGATCATGATTAATGACTGCTATGGTAATCAATTCAATGATCCAACCCAGAACTCTCCCAAAGATCCCATCATCATAAATGCTTTCTCCTGCCAATTTGGTTCAACCATGTGTCCTCAAAAAGTGGCCAATTCCACTTCCATTTTCAGATAGTAAAAATCACAAGCACTGACCGCAAACAAAAACAGAAATTGCTGGGAAAACTCAACAGGTCTGGCAGCATCTGTGGAGAGAAAGCAGAGCTAACGTTACAGGTCCAGTGATCCTTCTTCAGAAAGCACTGACCACAGCCTGAAGCTGCTGCAAGACCTACATATCACAATTGCCTCTTGGCCAAGCTATTCAGAGCAGTTATCTGTTACCAACAGTGAAGAAAAGTGATCAGAAAAGTATCCTATCCATCAAAAGCAGGAGGAATTCAATCCAGTCAATTAGTACCCTATCAGGTCCCTCCCAGTCATTGGCCTCATGGATCAAAAGAATCATCAAAAGAAAAATTTTTTTTCTGAAGAAGGGTCCAGGCCCGAAACGTCAGCCTTCCTGCTCCTCTGATGCTGCTTGGCCTGCTATGTTTATCCAGCTCTACACCTTGTTACCTCAGATTCTCCAGCATCTGCAGTTCCTACTATCTCTTGACTCCAGGGTTTACCTGCTAGTCTTCTGTCATGGACAATGGGGAATGGGGATGAATTTAAATCATGATGGTGTTTCCTTCTTAAACCCATGTTTGATTTACACCATTCCCTTTTCAGTCCCATCCCTTACTGAGGTCAGCTGAAGGGTATTCCCCAAATTCTGGGTTTTGGTTTGTAATTTGTGAAGTGGGGAGGCGATGGCCTGGTGGTATTATTGCTGTACTGTTAATCCAGATACCCAGATAATGTTCTGGGGACAACAAGGTGCAGGGCTGAATGAACACAGCAGACCCAGCAGCATCATAGGAGCAGAAAGGCTGACGTTTCAGGCCGAGATCCAGTCCCCCTCACTGACACCCTCAGATGCTTAGCCGAACTCGTCCTCACCCTCAACAACTTCTCTTTCAATTCCTCCCACTTCCTAAAGACAAAGAGGGTGGCCATGGGTACCCGCATGGGCCCAAGCTATGCCTGCCTCTTTGTAGGTTACGTGGAACAATCCCTCTTCCGTACCTACACTGGCCCTAA